GTTCCCCTCACTGTATATATCTGCACCTGGTGGTTGTGTAAATAAACATTGCTTTCCCCTGAACTCTGCTCTGCGCCTGAGTCCTACTACACCGCATGACAGTTACACTGCAATCGGCCTGGGATGCTGGGAGCTTCCCATGATGCACTCTGTTTTTTCTTCACTCACCTCTTTTCAGTCTGTGTGTTTATTCACCACTTTGCATTTAGTTATTAGTCATTATTAAACTCTTTTGTCCTCTCCCTCAGCACTCACACAGTTCCTGAGTCTGGTCGTACTGCAGGCTTCTTGCTTTTAAAAGGAAGCTCTTCCTTCCCAATGTCGCCAAGTGCTAGCTCATAGGCCGTTGTCTGATTGTTGTTGTTTTCTCTGTATTATGTAGCACCTCGAGACAACTTTTGTTGTATAAATAAAGCTGAGTTGAATAGAACAGAAGAGTGTTGACTTGATTCTTAAGTTGTCATCTCTGTTAGTAATTCCCTGTTTAGTTGTTTCCTGTTTTGTTAGTCTCTTATGTCTTGTATTTAGCTTGACTTCCTTTGTGTCATTTGTCTTGATCAGATTTAGCTGTTTCCTGTTGCCCACCTGTATTATCCTCCTTTACATCATGTGTACATATAGCTTCAGTTTCCCTTTGTCTGATGATCTGTTTGATGGTAGCAAACAGACAATCAAATAAGCTTTGACAGTGTTCACGTCCTAGTTGTAACAGTTACACTTGAATAGAGAGCACAGCAAAATATGGCATTGTGTCTGTTAAAGGTTTCAAAGAAAGTGTCCAGATACTCACTGCTGTCATGATATACTGCCCCCCACACTGAAAGAAAACAGCAGTTTGTTAAAGCCTCATCACTAAAGGTGTAAATTTCTACCCTGCAGACTCCGAGGTTGCCAGAGCTGTATCGATCTGTGCATCTGGCCTCTGTGTCACTGCGCCTTTTCTGTATCTATCATTAACATATTTGTTGTGCTCAGAATTCATCCCTGGTGTGAGGTAAATAATTATAGTGCAGGGCCACAGAAGTTACAGTGACGCTAGATATGAAGCCGTATTAAAGCAAGACAATAAAGTTAAAGTGCGGTGTAAGAGAAGTTCGACGGTACATTGTCTCCTTCCTCATAAACTTGCTGAGGTATACACAAGCTTGTAAATAATCCCCTGCGCATTGACGACAATGGAGTCGGCACAGAGAAATGTTGATCAGCTGAAAATGTGACTCCTGTATCAAAAGCTGCTCGCCTGTCTCGCACTGCCGGTGTGTTTACGAAAGGATTCATTTTTGTCTTTTCATACAGTGGAAAAACATATTTGGCAAGTCACAAAAGATTGACTAAATATAACACATCTTTCAAAGGTGCAACAAACTGATTTTCAGTAGATTTCTAGTGGAGAAGATAACCAGGTGCGTGGCCTCTTAATCTCATAAAGGCCCTTCCCATCATCCCATGCTTCAGCTCACATAACAGTAATACAACATCGTACACGTAAACATTAGCAGGTTTGTTGCTCGAATTTCCTTCAGCATCTGAGCTGAAACCCATGTGTTACTTGTGAAAGAGGCAGCGAGTTCACTGACAGCACAGTCGCACATGATCGAGGAGTCACTCCAGCTCCTCCAGCTCCAGGACCGAGGCGATAATCATGACAGTGAGCTTGGTGTTTACCCTCTGCTGAGTGACAATCAGCTCAATCAGCAGCTCAGACTCGAGTGGCCATGAGCCAGAGATCCTGAGCTTTATAA